GAGGGACAGTGTGCCCAGCAGGCCCTCATGCTGCTGGAGAGCTTGGGGTAACTCATGTAGATTGTTCATGGTGTGGTATGAACTAGCTAGGTACATCGCGTACGGCATCGCCTCTGGCCCTCCCCTTCTGCTCCGCCTCTGATTCCTTCCCTCCTCGCCGCCAGCCTTCCTTTCTTGCATTGCCTTCTAGGGGCTGCACTCGTTTCGATTCGGAATGCCAATTTTGTACAGGTGTCTATCATTGCTGCTGCTTTTGGAGAAATTTCGATACGATCAATCAACCCCCAAATTGGTTTATTACTACATATGGTCTAATTGGAAGCGCTTATCTACACTCAGAACTCGGAATCTGGAACATTCGGGACGTCCAACTCAAGGACGTCCTCAAGATGAAGGAAGCGCAGCTAAGATATTCTGGGCAAACTCCTGATCAGTCATGAGACTGCCCATTGAGTTGTGCTGTTGATGCAGCTGAGATAGCTGCTGAATAGCTGGTTCCATGGCCACTCCCTCTGCAATGTCTGCCTTCTGCAGCCTCTTCAGTACAGTGATCCTCAACATGACACTGACATTTGCGTAGGTGTTCTGAAAGGCGTCCCATGCCTTCTTCGAGGTGGTGCTGTTGGCAACATAGACAACAATGGCAGAGGATCATTGGAGACAGATCATGCTCAGGACCTTGCGGTCCTTAATCCACCATGCTGCAAGCCCTGTTTCATCTGTAGGGGCCGTCTCAATGCTTTTTGAGTAGTTAACGACTTCAGCCTCGGTGAGAATATCCTGGACTTGAACTTTCCAGGAGAAATAATTTTTCAAGCCTTTCAAGGCTTCAATCTTAAGGATACTGTCCATACTCTCAAGAACGCTGATCTACGGTGGCGCCTAGATAGGGTTTGTTCTGGACAATGTGTGACACAGAGTTGATCAAGATTTGATCAACAGTGGAAAGAGGTTCGAAATGACCCTGCAGTGATGTCGGTGACCAATGATTAGAGCATGGGGCTCATAACCTATTGTGAGTAGAATCGTGCAGGCAGGGGATTCACGAGTAATCAACAATAAATTCAAAGAATAATACTACATGTTCTTTTATATCTAAACTATTTCCTAATGGAGTCATATCTGATAATACTGGTCTGTAAGCATGGGGAGAGAACAAACATAGCAGAGAGTGAACTAGTGCCATAGCAGAGTGCTCTGGACGCTTTGTATCTAAATAAAGGAACCATGATGCGAGGCGCATTATGTCAAGATAACGAGACAGGCAAATCATCAGCTGGACGTCTCAGATACAACAACAGTGTAGATGCATTATAATTCTTTTGTGATAAAAGTTGGCTCTCCTATTTGAGTGGATAGATACTAGATGTATATATATATATATCAAGAGAATACATTATGTATTACTCTACATATGGATAGTCTAGTGGTATTTGCACCTCTTTTTGCTGTGAGCAGATTAACTTTTTACAACAAGATTTACTAAAAAAAAGTGACTTTGTTTTACTCTTATTTCCAAATTTTACCTATCATATATTTTTGCTAAAAAGTGTTCAAGCTTTTTAGCTTCTTTTCTCACAGTAATCTTCACGCCTCTTTCAGCTAAAAACATTTACTAATTAGCCCCGTGTGTATATTTAGAACTTGAATATAATTAGTTCAAATTTACAGTATGAGTGAGAGGCCACTCTAAACAACAATCTTACATTAGTGTAGCTACAGGCTCTTTGATATAGTCAGATAGATAAAGCAGATCAATTAATTAATATAGTACTATGTCAAACAGCAAACTAATAACAATGTTATTGCTATTGTAAAATATTAATGATGCAATGCAATAAATAGTAAACTTTGATCAACGAGCACTAGAAGGAGGAATGGAAAACTGGCCTACTTCTGCTAGCTTTATAGCAGCCTTTGAGCCTATGATCAGAGAGATAGCATGTAAACAGCAAGGTATCTGATGA